CAAATGATTCGAGAAATGGAAAAGATTTCTATATTAAATGAAAAATTACTAGTTGCTCAAATGTCTTTATTGATGGATGATGATTGTACTACACAAATGGGTATTGAATATTGTAGAAATAGACTTAAAGATGCAAAAAATTATGAAATTAAAGCAGAAAAGGTACACTTCCGTTTCGTTAAATAGATTATTTATAAGAACATGTCAAGGATATGGGTGTGGATATTGGTGTAGAAGCAAATTAATCCGTACCTATACGTCCACGTCTACATTCACCCTCATCCATCCACATTCATACTCACCCCCCATACTCACACTTCAAGAAATAGCAAATATCGCATTGTTTTTTTTACTTTAGGTCTCGATGAACATATCGAAGGTGAAAATCTCAAAGAAGATCGCTGTGAAATCGCCATCTCCTACGTCTATCGATTGACGAATAAATATTCGGGTTCGAATCATACATTAGTAGCCTTCTTATTTAATAAGGAAGCAAGCGATATCGAAATGGATCTAGTTCAAGGGTTTGGAATTGAATACTGGCGCTTTATTTGTTTGGCTGATAATAAATCCGAAATACGACGTCTCATGATGTTATGAACGATAAAATGAAAAAAACTACATGTGACGCGTTCGTCTGATTAATCAACTAGACTGAGCAACGATTTTTCAGGCAGAAACTCCGCTTTGGCCGTGGAACCTCGCACTTTTTAACTCGCAATGTATAGTATCGCTTGTGATTATTCTGGACTGCACTGGATTTTAACGAAGACTGGGAAGTACGCACAAGATGAATTGTTACCTTGAGATTTTCAGCTTAAATCATGCTGATTGAACTTTGAAGATATTATTCATAATTACGCGTTAAATTTGTTTCTTGTTAATAAATTCTATTATACTTAGAATAGTAAAACTAGATCACAATTCATTAGAAGATTCGTTTGCATCAGATGATTTGATACGTTTCTTTTAAGTTATTTTCTTTCATTCTTGAATCTTAACGCTCTTATCTGGTTTTATCCATGGGATATTGGAACTGGAAAAATTTCATGCAGGCCATATCTTCCATTTATTTTCAGCCTTTAACAGAAGTGAATATCTTTCCTTTGTAGTTTCTCAAGCTGTTCAGAATTAGTTTTCCAAAATATCTTTTAGTGTACTCATGGCAATGCTATCATTAATATTCTTGATTAACTCTTGGAGATAGAAGTAATACTGAAAATTGCAATAATTTTCTTTTTCATAATTAGAAAAGCTTCGCATGTAAACATGTCAAGTACGAATTAAGTTGCCATAAAATGATAAAACGATTGTTTTTCTCATCTTTTCTTTTTCACTCATATAATTAAAAACCAGTCGTCAGAAATATCGCACATCATAGTCCTTAAAAAAATTCCTTTATTGCACAATTGTATAAAAGTAATAGAACAAATAATATGAGCAATATTCCAAGCATTATCATCGATTTAAGTGTACTCATTTTTGTATTAACTGGCACTTTAACGTCACTTGGAATACTTCTTCTAATCTTTTGTTATCGATATCAACGTCCTGTTAGTACAGCAACTTGTCTCATCTGTAATAACTATTTAGCCGGCATGATTTCCTGTCTACTCTTATTAGACACTTATGCACATAATTTGTATGGTGTCTTGCATGAAAATATCTCTTTTAACAGTTGGTGGTGTTACGCACGTTGCTATCTCGTTGCTGTTGCACTTGCTGCACTCTATCATTCATATCTTATTCAAGCATGTTTTCGTTTATTTCGTGTGGTTTTCTACAAACATAAACAATTGTATAGTTCTCAATTCATGTTTCGACTCGTTTTAATCCAGTGGTTGATAGATTTTCTTGTTTTGATACCTTCATTAATTCTTCAGCATTATGATTATATCCCACAGTATTATTATTGTCAAATATTATATACTAATTGGCATGGAATAATAAATATCGGTATTATTGTGTATTATTTTCCGATGATTGTCATTGGATCAATTTACTTTTACATTGTATATTACATGAAACAGAACAGAAGTATTTTCATTCACCAAAATCGTCAACTAGGAAATCAACATGACTTAACTGTTCTTCGTCGCATTCTTATTCTCATTGGAATGCTTTGTATGTTGAGTTTTCCTTCAACGGTATTATATTTCTGGTATCTTATCAGTGGTTATTTATATCCATGGATTTATCACTTTCAGTGGCTAACATTCACTTTATCATTATCAATTTTACCGATGGCGACAGCTTGTCTAACACCTCAATTGCGTGCACTATTTACTCTTACATTCAGGCAACATCTTCGTATTCATCCAATTATGGCAATATAACAGACTTATTTAATAACATATCAGATAGCAAGCATTGTAATAAATTTTTACGTATATTTCTGAGAATATTCATTGTAGTTTGTCTCATCTGTTGTATTGTTATTCTTTTTGTTGTCAGAAAAAAAACCAACTTCACTTATATAAACTTTATATTTTAACTAAACTAAAAGAATGGATGAATGAGATGAGGAAAGAGTAGTATAGTAACACCCACACCCACCTTTAGATGGTCAAATTCAACTGATTATAAATTTAATTGTTTCATATTATTATTAAATTTACACACATTTTTTCTTTTGAATTAAACTTTGAATGAGAATAAGATCTTTTTTTGGAATTTTCTGACATATCCTGTTTTCAGCATTTTGTAAATAATTCGCCGCATTCATCACGATCTTTACTTTTGATCTGATGCATTGTAATACATGAAGATTGTCAGATTATGCTAATCTCGACTCAAATGGCAGACATCAATTGTAAAACTACATGAGCTACTAAGCATCGAACGTACTTAGACAGTATACAGAATAATTCGTCTCTTTGAATAAATCATGATATCAAGTTGGTGAGGTATTTATGAATACAATTCAGTTTTTCCTAAACTCGTAGTGTTTAATATGTCATTTGATGCAGAATCCATTGATTACCATGGGTTTTAAATTAGATGTGATTTTGGTACAGGAAACCATAAAAATCTCTCACTCAATGTCTTAAAAAAAATGATATTTCATATTTGATTACCAAAAGTAGTTCAAAGGTTTCTCCATGAAAACAAAAGATTTTTAGAAAAAAACTTTTTATCAAAATGATAAAAATATTCATACAAGTTCGAATAATCAAGTATTGACCATATAATTCAATGATAATTTTTTTCGTTTTTATTTCATAGTGAGAGAATAATGTGCAATACTTTTTTTTTTCTTTACAAAAAAGTAGAAAGAATAATAAACACTATGATACTCATTACTTCATTGTAAACAAAAAGGTAAAATTGTTTTCAACATTTGATGCGTTAAGAGTAACAGTTCATTAATGAAGAAAATGTTTCTTCGTCTTCTTTAATATTTGCTTCTAAAATAACAACAACAAGCTAATGCAATGAGAACACCTAAATGTATTAAACTATTAGTATAAGAATTATATATCGGCGAAATCAGCATTGCGGAATTCCGTTTTGTCAAATTGCAATGTTCATATGTTCTGATTAATAAATGTGAACACTCTAAAAATTTTAGCTGTACACACAGACTATTTAGATCTAATATTGGTATAAATTTTTTTATTCTATTTGATACAAAATGTGGCTATTGAAAAAAAAACTAGCTGTTACGGAATTTTTCAAATGTAATATTTTTATGGTGTGAGCTCAGAGTTTAGCATTTCTCTACCAGAGGAAGTGTTATACTGATAGGGTGTAGGTGTGGCTGCGAGTTTGAGCGTGAGGTATAGACGTCCATAAAGAGAAAATATCCAAACCCTCTCACTAACACCCTCACCCACACTTTGACTTACACCCAAATTCTCACCCACATCCTCAAATAGCTTGAGTTTGAGTTTGGGTTTGGTGCCTGTCTGCTCTCCCACATTGACAGCCATACTCTAAGTGAGCAAGACTTTTTTCCGACTTGTGTATTTTTAACACAAATGCGTCGTTAAATAAAGTGCTTACTGATGTACTTTTATGTGAAAGAAGGAATCGAAAAATATTTTGTTCGTATAGAAACAAAACTTTTCATTTTTCATTCAATACTATAATTCCAGTTAACAATGCACAAAGAGATGTATTCAGTTGCTTTTCTCATTTTATGTTTATCATTTCCTGTCATCGTCCGCAGTGACTACAACTGTACAACTCCAAATACACTTATAACTTTCGATGATTTGCCTGAAGTATCTGATACAGCTTCGATACCAAACAATTATTTCGATTTAGTTTGGTCTAATGTCGCTTACATGTTTATTCCCTATTTCAACTCACAAAACGGTGATCATACAGCTCTTTCAAGTGAATTATATGTCGCTTATAATAATTATGGAAATCCCATGACCATTAGTTCTCCAGCAGCTTCTTATGCTTTTAATATAAACTCATTTATTACAGTTGCTTTATTTAGGAATAATTTGACTTTATCAATGCATGGAAAACGAGATGGAGTAACAATTCATCAACAAACAGTGATACTCCAGACGAATGTTTCTTCGTTCATAGTATTAAATTGGACTTATATTGACACCATTAGTTTCACTACTTCGGGCGGAATTGTTAATCCTATGTTTTCTGCGCAAGAAAACGACACAACCTTTGCTATAGATAATTTATGCGTCGATATGTAAGTTTTATTCTTATAATATATTACCCTCTTTACTTTTTAGTCAACAGCCATCGAAAAATACGATTTTTTTATTTAGAAGTTCATTTTATACACCAACACTTTATCCAATTACAACCACTCCATGGATCATAATAATCACATCTGATAGTGATAGTAATAGTAAGGAAGAAAACATTAAAGAATTTCATACAATTTATTGAGCAGTTCAATTAAAGAATTTTTATATTTTCTGTAGCTAACTATCCTGCAATTGCTATTGTAGTTGGAGTTATACTTGGGCTCATAATTGCAGGATTCGTCATTGGGATAATTATATACTGCATCAATTCGAGACGCAACTCTTGATCACCCAATTGCTAAAGATGGCATAGAAACTGTTGTTAAAGAGACAGACTATACTTTTTTCGTTACTTATTAGCATCACCTTTATATTTCCGCATGAAAATTTTGATTTCATTTACGTATTTAATAAAAACTAATAAAGTTTCATAACTGTTTGAATCCTATGTATAAAGATAAAAAATTCTGCAATATCTTGAGGGTGTGGATGTGAAGATGCGGTTGGATGCGTGCGTGAATGTCTCTTATCGATTTACACCTACACGCACATCTTCACTCACACACACCCAAATATTTCACTATTCATTCTTCTATCTTATTATAAGTTCAAAATATAGAAATATTCATGGCAACGATGTTTTGTAAAATGCTCATAGTATTTTGTTATATGTTGCTAAATTAGCTGATGAATACCGATTGAAAACTCGACAACAGTTAATAGAACCTTTAGAAAATCAAGCTGTAACTATTTGTCCAGATTTATGGTCAGATAAATTTCGTCAGATTTCATACTTAGGTATATCTATATGCTTTACTGATGATAAGTATCAGTTTTCTGCTTATGACCTTTGTGGTGTGCCATTTACTGAAAATAATAAAACTGCTCTAAGTGTTATTACCGTGGCTTCTTTTTCTTTTCAAAGTGCATCACTATTCTGTGTCTTTCTGAGTTATTGAAAAAGCTGTTGAACCTTTTGGAATTAAAGATTTAACAAAATTAAATTTCGTTTCAGACCAGCGTACACACTTCGTAACGGCACCTAAACCATATTCAACGACTAAATGTGCTGCTCATCAATTCAACAATGTTGATAAATCTAGTTGTTATCAGACAATTAGAAAAAAACGTAAAAATAACAAAATTATTCCACTTCAAATACTTGAAATAATATCATTTTCGGATTTTGAAAATGGTGCTGAAAATAGTGAACATAATCAAATTAAAAATGATGAAAATAGTGGTAAGAAGAATCAACTGGTTCGTGATAATAAGGATGTTGAATGTTCTTGAGGGTGGGTGTGGGTGTGGGTGTGCGTTGTTTTATTATTATTATCATTCACCCACACCCCAGTTTCATTTGAAAGAGCACATTCGAATGTGTTGACTCACGTCAAAAAACGTCTGTTATTTTGAATTGGATGCGGGTGTGGGTAAGAGAAGAACACAATGCCCACATCCTCACCCATCGGTAATCGGAAAATAGACGTTCGATTCTTGCTCTGATTTCATGATCTTTCTTTACAAGTTTTTCGTATTTTTTTAAACATATCCATGTGATTGCATTTGCTTTGAAATCGATCATATTTCCATGGGCAAAAGATTTGATTACTTATCTCTTTAACTCTTATATTTACAAGATTCAAACACCCACCCACACCCTCTAAAAAACGTGGTATTTCACATTTGATTACCAACAGTAGTTGAAAGGTTTCTTGATGGAAATAAAAGATTTTTAGAAAAACTTTTTCATCAAAATGATCAAAACAGAAAGCTCTATAAATGCTAAAAATTTCATCACAATTTGAAAAAACTTTTGTACAGGTAGTTAAGATTCCCTGGAAATATTCATAAAAGTGGAAACTACGGTAAAAATACGTTTTATACGACTGTCGTCCTATCATGCAGACTCAACCTTACATTTCAGTCTTAAATTCTCGAATAATCAAGTATTGACCATATAATTCAATGGTAGTTTTTTTTTGTTTTTATTGCATAGGGAGAGAACAATGTGCAACACTTTTTTTCTCCTTAGAAAAAAGTAGAAAGAATAATAAACACTATGATACTCATTACTTCATTGTAAACAAAAAGGTAAAGTTGTTTTCAACATTTGATGCGTTAAGAGTAACAGTTCATTAGTGAAGAAAATGTTTCTTCGTCTTCTTTAATATTTGCTTCCAAAACAATAACAACAAGCTAATGCAATGAGAACACCTAAATGTATTAAAATATTAATATAAGAATTATATATGGGCAAAATCACCGTTGTGGAATTCCGTTTTGTTAAATTGCAATGTTCATATGTTCTGATTAATAAATGTGAACACTCTAAAAATTTCAACTGTACATACAGGCTATTTAGATCTAATATTGGTATCAATTTCGTTTATTCTACTTTATACAAAGTATGTCTACTCAAAAACAAATTAGCTGTTACAGAATTTCTTGAGGGTGGGTGTGGCTTTGAATTTCGGCGCAAGACATGGTCGTGGATAAAGAGATCACACTCAAATCCACTCACACACACCTGCATCCGCACGCACACCCTTGCCTACACCCACATTCACAACCACCCCCACTTACACCCAAATCCAAACTCAATATTCAAACTATTTGGGTGTTTGAGTTTGAGTTTGGGTTTGGTGCATATCTGCTCTCACACATTCACAGCCATACTCGAGGTAAGCAAGATTTTTTTCCCACTTGTGCATTTTTAATACAAATGCGTTGTTAAACAAAGTGCGTATTTATGTACTTTTATATGAAAGAAGGAATCGAAAAATATTTTGTTCGTATAGAAACAAAACTTTTCATTTTTCATTCAATGCTACAATCCCAGTTAATAAAGCACAAAGAGATGTATTCAGTTGCTTTTCTCATTTTATGTTTATCATTTCCTGTCATCGTCCGCAGTGACTACAACTGTACAACCCCAAATACACTTATAACTTTTGATGATTTACCTGCAATATCTGGTTACGCTTGGATACCAAACAACTATTTCGATTTAGTTTGGTCTAATGTCGCTTACATGTTTATTCCCTATTTCAACTTACAAAACGGTGATCATACAGCTCTTTCAACTGGCTTATATGCCGCTTACAATGTGGATGGAAGCCCCATGACCATTAGTTCTCCAGCAACTTCTTATGCTTTTAATATAAACTCATTTGTTGCAGTGGCTTTCTCTAGGAATAATTTAATTTTATCAGTGGATGGAAAGCTGGATGGGACAACAATTTATCAACAAACAGTGATACTCCAGACGAATGTTTCTTCGTTTATAGTATTAAACTGGACTTATATTGACACCATTAGTTTCACTACTTCGGGCGGAATTATTAATCCTATGTTTTCTGGACAAGAGAACGACACAAACTTTGCTATGGATAATTTATGCGTCGATATGTAAGTTTTATTCTTATAATATATTACCCTCTTTAATTTTTAGTTAAGAGCGATCGAAAAAAATACGATTTTTTTATTTAGAAGTTCATTTTATACACCAACACTTTATCCAATTACAACCACTCCATGGACCATAGTATTGCCATCTGATGGTAAGAAAGAAAACATTAAAGAATTTCATACAATTTATTGAGCAATTCAATTAAAGAGTTTTTATATTTTCTGTAGTTAGATATTCTCCAACTTCGCTCATAGTTGTTGGAGCTGTACTTGGTGGCATAATTATAGCACTCATCATTGGAATATATCTATGGTTTACCATTCGTTGGTGCCGCGCCTCTTAATCACTCAATTGCTAAAGATGGCATAGAAACTGTTGTTAAAGAGACAGACTATACTTTTTTCGTTACTTATTAGCATCATCTTTATATTCCCGCGTTAAAATTTTGAATTCATTTAAGTATTTAATAAAAACTAATAAAGTTTCATTATTGTTTGAATCCTCTGTACGAAAATGACCACCTTGACGGTATGGGTGTGAATGTGGGTGTGCTTGATCAGATCAATCTTATACCCATCCTACACCCTCAAGATGGTAAATATTGATATACTTTTCACCCATACTCTTCGCGATGGTATATTTAAGAATCTCTAACTTTTCAAGGCTGCGAATGGTTTAAGCTGAGTTTGGTGCTGCTAATCGATCATATTTATCAAGCTTTATAGTCGAAGCATCCATTAGCATAAAGATTATGTTGGAATCTATGAGTTTTAAAATATCTTCTTATAAGACACTGTTGTTATCGCCTACGCGGCAGTATCAATGTGTACGTCTCTGTTATAATTAACACTCTTCGATTTTGTAAAAAAGCGTCAATAGCTAAAGAATTAAATCAAGACAGCCAAGAAAGAGTGTGCACATTTATTTTGTATCGAAAAACAATGAAAAAGGCGCAAAACGTATAATAATATGATGCTGAAAGAAAGAGTAAAGAATTCGAAATAAAAATAGGTGAAAATATGTTATTCTAATGGTTTCTCTCAATCAATTTGATAGGAGAGTATGACAAAAAAATTCCAACTTACTCCGTGAGCTTTTTGTGTCTATTTACATTTAAAAGGGTATTTGTGACGGTGAGGTTGGGTGTGGATGACGGTGAGAGGTGTGGGTGAAGGTGAGCATGGGTATGATTGAGCGTAGGGGTCAGGGCAGCGTGAAGGTGAGGGTGTGGGTGGGTGTGAATGTGATTATTTCTCTCTCAGCCATACCGTCAAAGACCTCAGTGTGTCCTTGCCGATGTGTAGCGAACTGGTGATCTTAACGATCTTGTGACATTTCTGAGAATTAAAGAAGTAACTGTGCCGCAAACCGATCTGAATAGAAAATCTGGAAGATCTTCATTGAATATAAGCTTTTTAAATATCAAAGGAGTTTATTATCTCTACGCTGAAGTTTAACTGCATCCACTAATCCGTTCTGAAAATTACACTTATTGTGACACAAATTTTGAGATCTGCTTTGATAGGTATTGCTAAAATACTCCAGTGAATGTGTTTTCGATAGAAGTAAATCTTTAACAGTTATAGGAATCAACAAAATGGGTCGTATGGAAGTAGTTAGACTTGGATTTAAATTTTTTTGAGTTAAGAGTTTCAAGGATCTAGAACGGGAAGAATGCAAATGTAGTTTCATTCTTTTTAAATTTATTCACCGTTACAAAACAACAAAAAACAAGATTGTCAAAATTTTGATTCGATAGTCTTTCATTCATGATACAGCAGGTATAACCATATTTGCTCGTCTATTTACTATTTTCATTAGTGACATTTTCAATGGATCTGTAAATTGAAACAAAGTAATGATTACACATAGCATTGCTGTATCGCCAAATATAAAAGCAATTCGAAAATTATGTTTTGGTGTACTATTGAAGAATGACATTATAAGAAATAATTGATAAGGAAAACAAATCGTGACAAGAATCATTACAAGTATAACTATACGTCGAACCATTTTTAAATCTCGTTGTGCACGTGGTAATGTGTTGGTTGGTCTCACATTTGCGCTCATCTGTTTAACATATCGAACTAATAAAAAATAGATAAACATAATCATTGAGACAGGAATACCAAAGAGACAAAATGCCATGTATATGACTGAGAAGGAAAATCTAAGAGTCATTTGACATATTTGATTGTCGACATTATAAATGATTTCACCGGTGAACAAATACTCCATTGGAAGTACAATAGCAATGATCCATGATATACAAATAAACATTAATTGAATTCTATATGAGTGCCAGAATAAACGATTTGGATGAACTATTAATAGATACCGATAAATCGCTTGTAATAATAAAGAATAATTCTGTATAGTACATGTAACATAAGTTGCATATCCAATAAAAACACAAAACGGAAATTGATATTGAATCTGTTTGAGATCATTTTGAAGAGTAAACGAGGTCAAACTAAGCATAGCGCTTCCAAACATAAGCGTAGCTAAGCATGAATTAGCAACGAGCATCATTGGAACTGTATGACATGTTCTATCAAGAATAATTAGAATTAAAAAAATTATCGCAAGTGTAATAGCCGACACGTTGCAGATAATCATGATGATATCGAGAGGTATAAACCATGATTCAATAGTTGTTCTAGTTGTGTTTTCAACAAACATCAGTAATAACATGGAAATAATTATTAATCTACTTTTCAAAAAATCAACTACATATATATATCTAGATTTTATATATGAAAAGATGTCATACATCATAATTTTACGGGACGAAAAGCAAATTTTTCCAGATATGTTCTTCCGTATATCACGAGTAAATAATTACTTTACATTTCTTAATTTTAATTTTTGAGTGAGTCCATCCCCGCTTTTCTAAATGATAGATAATTAAATGTCATCACTTTCCGCTAAATTATCATTAGGATGGATATTGATTGTTTCCCTTCTCATACTTATTCACCTTCGTGTCATCTGAAAAAAATGACTTTAATCTTATAATGTTCTTCTTTCATTCTACTCTGAGAATATCTTCGCAATACTGTGTAAAAGGAAAGGTGTCATACTGATTCTTCGCTCGGTACTATTTTCATAATCTTTTATAATTAACTACAAAACTACTTTTTAGGGAGAATGAATCAGTAAAAAAAACATTGTTTTGCCATTTATCGAAAGTATGAAAGTTATATGATAAAGTTTCATAAATGAACAAGTTAGTACAGTGCTCGAACTACTATACCAGCGGGTGGTCAAATAATAAATATCCTAAAATTAGAGTTCAGATAAAAAATAAAGAGTGTGATTGGTAGAAACAGTAAGCAGAAGGACAGAAATATACTTTCATAGAAATTATATATCTGTTCGATTAGGTAAGCCATATATTGTAAATGTTTTTTTACAGATTCGGTCATTTCAAATAGAATAACCGTTACAAATATTAATCATATATCAACATACATAAAAACAATACGAAAATAATATTTTGATAAATTAATGGAAAATTGTATTTAAATAAACATTGTCAAAAATAAATCGAGAATAACAGCAATAGAGATAAGTATTTAAATGTACTACAAATCATTTCCAATTCTTGTTATTCACTGTTTTCACATGGCGAGCCATTTATTTTGAATTTCTCATACAAGCACAAAGTATCTTATAGATTATTCAGTCGAGGAACTACCGATGTATTTGATTGTTGACAGTGTAAGTGATTTATATTTATTGGCTTGAAAGTGGCCTCTGGCCATATCGATCTTAAAATGACAGTTGAGCTAACAAACGTGAAGCAGTTTGTGAAAGCACTAAGAAAAAAGGATGTGGGTGTGGATAAGAGAAAAACGCAATATCCACATCAACCCTCAAAATGCACTGGATAGAAAATTGCTCACCGTATATTCTTTTTTGAACGAGCAACACTGACGTACTAATGACAACAGAAAGCAAAATAATAAATATCTCTCTTTTCATCTTGCTGTTGCTGATTAATCTTTTTCATTCCTTATCTCTATCATCGAAGACAAAATGTGCCTTTATTGAATGTGTGTGACGATAATATAGTGCGCAGTATTTGAGACATATTACATCGACACACTAATAATTCTAAATTTTTCTTACGCTGTATATTCATGCGTGTAACAGATATCATGATAATGAAGCAGACTAATAAGTTTTGACATCGAAACTGGATAAATTTACTTACAGTCAACATTGAACAGAAAATATTATGGTACTATAGTGATCTTTCAGCTCTTTTCAACAATATCAAAGCGTCACGAAGGTTTGTCAATTTAATGCAAAAATCTCAAATATTAATTGGCAAAAAAGTCAACAGCTGCACAGAAATCTTTAGGTTCATTGCGTATTAATAATGTAGAAAAATAATCTGTTATAAACAGACAATGATACTATTTTATGGACAATCAATAAATTATGTTGTCGATAAAAGTTGAAATGGATAAAGCCTTGTTATCGGATTGTTGAAAAAACTTTCAATAGTTAGGATGTGACGGAGATAAGCATCTATTTAAAAACATCTTTAACTTCATTTAAAGTTGAATCGATCATCAGTATTCTTTTAAAATATCATGTGAAAATAAATAACATTTTTCTTGTCTGAAAAAAAGACAATGATAAATACATCAAGAGTATAGTAAGATATGTGTGCAAAGAACTACATATATAAGAATGATAAGGAATAACAAAAATGGGTGTTAAAATATGATGAAGCAAATTTCATATTTGAAACAACAACCTCAAGGACGACAAATTTTACAAAATGTTAGCTGAGTCTCAAACGATAGCAAAAATATAAAATAAGTTTATTCTGATGACGACAAATGAATTTTCCTATAGTATGATTAAACTTGTGAAGGTCTCGATGAAGTTGAGATCCACATCTATACCCATAAATAATTCATTCTTAAAAAATATATATTCTACATGAATGAAGAGAATCACCACAGTTGAATTAAGCTGAATCATCCTAGACAAGATGGTTACAGCTACCACTATATTCATGGATAGCACCTATTATCTCCTTAATTAATAAATACATACTTGTGGAGAACGATCTTGACGATTTTTCTATCAAAGATCAAACTTCGATCTTGTTGAACCGAGTGAATCAGTGTAATTCTCAATGGCCGAGTACATGGCACGTTTTGTGCCAAACATTTTTTAAAGAGTGTGGGTGTGGATGTTTGTATTCTTCCCATTCATTACCCACTACCCTCAACCGGTTGTATACTATTTTCAGTCCTCACTCTCAAGATTCATTGTCTTGTCCTTGATGAGATATCGCTGGCGATATAACATTTGCTTTACGTCTTTGCAAGTGGCTCGTCAACGTATTTATCTTTTGCATACGTTATAGTCAGTGTATATAAACAGTTGCCTAGTAGTCATTTCACTCTAAACTTCCTACATATCTTAATAATGGGAGCAACTCTGTTTGATACTGTTCTTGTTCGTCCGTACGTCGTTGTGCGATTTAGTAATGGCGCTAACGTAACGACGGCAATAGCATGCTTTCTCGTGGTCTTAATTGACATCATACTACCCAACCGTTTTCTAGATTCGTTGGCCAAAAAGTTAAGACGAATATTGCCGTTCGTTCGTGAGCAAGAGATTATGGTGGGCTCCGTGAGCAGCGACGCAAATCAAGCACAGCTGTTGTCGACACTCGTTCCTCTGTATCAAATAAACGAACACCTTACCCAAATCAAGCCTGCACGACGTTTCTATCTACTTATTTTACCCATGCTTTTATACGTCATGTTGATCATTGCTCAAAGTAAAGTCATTCACGAGCAAGAAACGTCTATTTATGAAGTTAATCTAACGATTTCTGTCGAACAACAGATGAAATTTTACCAATGCTCTAAGACTACTGACATATGTACTTCATATATATTTAAATCAGAGAACTTAATAGATACAGTGACAACTCTTACTACGTGGTGGACCGGACTGACGTACATCATCAGCAAACTGATGCTTTCATTGCAAAAAGAATTGATGAAAATGGATGTCGCTAAGAAGAAGTGCATGTCCTTATCATCTCAAATCCAACTTTATCGATTTTTCAGTTGGATCTCTCCACTTCTATTCGTACCATATATAATATCAGACATCCGAGATGGCATTAGCTCGGAATGGTATCCCTTGGTTTTGTGTGTCTTACTTGCATGCTGCGCAGGATCTAGTGCTAGCGCTGATATTCACCAGTCGTTGGTAGATCTTAATCTTGACAAGGCACAACTAGTAGCTAATGAGAAACGACTGAACGCCGCTCGATCGGTCCTCATTCTCGAGCGAACACAGTTCGAAAGTGTTCAGACAACGCTTGCCCAGCAGACGATATTGACGGCACCGACGCTTGCTCAAAATCGATCGACTAAAGTAACACCGTGGGTTGATGAGCGTCGGTAGTTGTGACATACAACTCGGATGCGATATTTCTGACAGTTATCACTAGTTTACCTTTTTTGTCTAAAACTCGTGCCGTTGCTCTACTTTCATATGATTAATTTAGCTAAACTCTACAGTTCAGAGTGAAGACGATAATGACTCTCCCTTACTCAAATAACGGATATTTGAAGACTCTGAAGGTGTGAGTGTGTAGTAGTGATACTATTTTAAGTTCTACTTTATATACTTTATTTTATACCATCACTGGTACTTCTAATAGTACAATAACGTTCAGTATTGCATCAGTGAATATACACCTATAGAAATTGTCAGTTTTTTCACTTCCAAGGGCAATGGTTTCATTCCAATCAATACTACATAAGTAATAAACAATTCTCGCTATGATGATTATAGGATTTTCATTGCTTTAGTATACGAAGAGAATACCTGAGTATCACACAGATATTTTATTTATTTTTCATGTACCAATGGATAGTAAAAAAATCAATAGATCTGAAGAATATATATTAATCATATATTTCACTGCTATCATTCTATCCAACGGTGGATGTTATTGATTTTTTATTTGCATGCTTGAATTATCTTCTTTTTACTTCTTGATTGATATTCGTTTCAATTACTATGATGAAAACTTATACCTTTAATATCATTCAGAAATATATTTAAATAAAGTAATTCTTTGAAATACATTTATCATGTTTCACTTGCATTAATAGCAAGGGTGACATTATTAGTAGTATTTCTCATTGATTATGAATCATTAACGATTTATTAAGATTTTTCAAAAGTTTTGAAGCAAAAATGAGAAGAAATGAGGATGAAGAAGTAGATAATCAGAAAACTAAACAAGTAAATCTTTATAGAACAGATATTATGAATGTCGATTTTTTAATTTTATATCTTGATAAAAAAATCATCTTTTATTGTTGATTAGATGTCATATATTTTCTTATTATTGTAGTCCTTTCCATTTAAAGATTATTATCATTGATACATAAGTGAATGTGCTGATAGAATCATATATCTATTATCGAGAGACAAAAATGATTGAAGAAGAATTCAATACTATAGATTATCTGCTCATGAATTAGTATTCGCTTACTTACAGAAAGCTACACAATAAGACGTCTTCTTTTGACGATTTATCACCATCTTTTCCGTGAAATAAT